AAGGAATAAAAAGGGGAACGTTGTGAGGGCGGATTGTGAAAAATAGGAAAGTGTCTCCCCGTGGAAAGTGGGAAGGGTACCTTCCCACCATATTTTGCACGTTGTACGGTTGCGGGCTATTTCCGTGTGCCTGCTGTCAGAATCCGTAAGACTTGGGGATATTTCCGTGCATCAGTGGTCCAAAATTCTCTCCAAATCCATAAGATAAGGGGTCTTGCTCCACCACTCACCAAATGTGCAAAATGAATCTTGCGTAGTACATGGATACATACATCGCCATGATTAATGTCTTTTGTATATGTGGAATGACGGCCGAAGGTGTTGAATCTATCAGAACGCGGGGATTCAGCAAGATACATTCATTGTATCTGTTGTCCTCGCTGGATACTGTCAGTATTAGGGCGAGATCACGAAATTCAAATGAATGTACACCCGCCACAAGACGGCAAGATACATCCGTCACTAAGCAAGCAAGCAACGCATCTTGCCACCTTTTGTGGGCGTGCGAACTCGTTTTTCTTTCTTGTTTCTTGGACTGTGAGCTATTCGGCCTTGCACTACTCACACTCACACGCAGACACACACACACACAAAAGAAAAGGCACATGTACCTGTGTGCGCGCATGTTGGGGGGTGCACTCATACTTGAGGACACCTACCATGCACGCGCAGTGCACACGGTGCGCACATGCACGCGCTGCACACATGTGTGCACGGCACTCGGCGCACCTCACAGCACTGCACGGTGCATGCCCCACAAGTATGCTATGTTCTCATACTGTGTTCTGTCTCTCCCGGGAGGGGTGGGTCAGAAATAGGTAGAACTACAGGGGTAGGACTGGAATTGGACACTGGTGGACTTCTAGAAAGGCCAGGGCACACAGGGACACAGGTAGAATCTGGCAAGCATGCGGTAGGGTGTTTCCAGCACTTAGGTAGGCCCAAGTGAGTAGAAAGGGGCCCAAGTGAGTAGAAAGGCCCGGTAGCTTCCTTAGGAGGTCATTATGATTCAGGCCCATATTTAGTTAGATTTCAGGTTAGGTTCAGGCTTAGAGGTTGGACTGGAGACTGCAATGGTGTTCCCACCGTAAGGCAGGAACTTCTGGCAGGTGTAGTGGACGGGTAGAGGCCATGGTACCCGGCCAGCGTAGAGACGGAGGTCGGGAGTCAGGGGTATGTCACTTCGTGGACTCTGCACATGTCACTTCGTGCAATCAGTAGGCTGCCACATTTACCTGGTGGTTATGCTACTGTTCCGGCCAGAGGAGGGCGACCTCCATGGCTATGGAGTAGCAAATAGCAGAAGGGAGTAGGCCTAGGCTTATGGAGGTAGAGGGAGAAGTAACTCAAGCTAGGCTACTGAGAAGAAAGGAGGAAGAGAGTAGAGGTTGAGGGAGAGGAAGGAGGTAACTGACATGAGGGACTTACCCTTGGGTGTGGTTGACCTCCATCTCCACTTCCTTGTTTGGCGCTGCATCTAGCAGGCCCTCATACTGGTTGGTCTCGACCTTCCTCCGGGACTGTGGCTATGGTGGCATGTTTTAGGAGCGCCACATTTGTGGTTGCATTGTCCTTTGAACATCCACTGGTCATATGGTGTTCTTCCGCGGTTAATTTGGATTCTTTGGAACGAAGAAAGGAGGATGAAAAGAGTTTTGTGTGAAGGGAAGCTCTTTGAGTGCTTCCACAGTAAGGGGGTTTGTTCACTCGTTCATTTATTATTTGTATTCTATTGATTATTGGAGGAGGAGGAGGTTGGAGAAGATGAAGTTAGGGAAGAGGTCGGAGAAGATGAAGTTAGGGGGATGACATTTTGAACACGTTCGTGGGTTTCATGTGACTCTTGTCACTCAGAAGTGAGAATGCTGACATGAGTCACAAAAAACCAGGTGAAAAACATGATCGCCGAAAGTTCAAGGGTTTCTGCGTCCAGTCAATCTACGCAGAGTGAATTGGTCCGTAAGGAAACCCCGAAAGGCGGCGCCGATGGGTACTAGAAAATGACGAAAATTGAATTAAGCTAGCTGACATGAGTAACAAAAAACCAGGTGAAAAAAACATGATCGCCGAAAGTTCAAGGGTTTCTGCGTTCAGTCAATCTAGGCAGAGTGAATTGGTCCCTAAGGAAACCCCGAAAGGCGGCGCCGATGGGTACTAGAAAGTGACGAAAATTGAATTAAGCTAGCGCTACTGAACAGAACAAAACTGGATGACTGGACAGGGCCTCAATTTCCGGGTGAAAAAACTTACAGAATCAATTGTAGATTGAACCGTGGTTCTTCTTCTTCTTCTTCTAATCTTCTTCTCCATTCTATTCTGCTCTGTCTCTTTTCACTTCTTCTTCAGTTCAGCAAGTCTTGCATCATCTCAAAGTTGACTTCTGCGTTATGAATGAGGTAGGATCATGACAGGTTCATTTAACTGATCACAGGACATTGTGAGGGCCTATTTCAATTATACTGAGATACCAGTCTGCTGGTGCTGGGATACCAGTCTATATATAGAGCAAATTCCTTTATCCACCTCTTAATTCTTTCCAGGTCTCAGAAGTCCTTCGTCAGTCCATTCGTTCTTGGGTCTGTGTGACAAGCGCATATGGAACTCAGGCCACATTCTCTGTATATGCCACACTGTTTGCTTGCACAGAAAGTCCACCGCCGCAGCAACTAAGCTCCCCAAAATGTACCCCACGCATGAACCGCCATGTGCACGTTGGTGGTTTGTTGCTGCATTTTGTGCCGCCGGGTATCGATGATCAGGTGCATCGTGTTGCTGGTGTCCATTCAGGCGGCATGCTAAGATTACTGACCATTATTATTGTTTAATTCGTCTGCTTTGAGAATGCGGATTAACTAGCTCTTCCGTCCCTCTCCATTTTTCATTTGCCACCTTGTTCCACTCTGTTCCTGTTCGGTCGTTTTAATGTTCTGTTGTTTTCTGCGTCAACCACCCCCAGGTTCCATTGCTGTCTGTCTTTTAGATTATCTTCCTGTTCTGTTCTTGTCTGCCTGTGCTGCCACCACCCTCCTGCTTTGCTGCTGTCATCTCTTGCTCGTTGCTAATTTCTCCTTCATTGTTTTCCTCACGCTCGACTATGCCGCTGTTACATCTCCTTCTTCCCGCTCCATCTTTGTCTTCCTGTGTTTCATTCACTGCCTTCATGTTGCATGGTTGGCTTGTCATGCTGTCTTGTCGCTGTATCTCCTTTTGTCACTCCTCCATGGATGTCTGCTGCAATGTTGTTCATTTTCACCGTTACTCTTCCATGTGTTTCCTCCTCTTCCATCTCATGTTTCCCATTCTGTTGCTGTTGTATAGCCGCCTTTTTGGGCTATCACCACCTCTCCTTCCAACGCTTCTTCTGCTCTTCCGTAGATGCCATAAGCTGAATCCCTGTCTTCTTCACAATGTATGATTGCGTTCATCTGCCGTTGTAGTAATTCTGCGCCATTGCCACCTCTCTGTTTTCTTGTTGACTTGCCCACGTCTCGCACGACTTCTCTGTCTTTTTGTCGTTGCACATTCTTCTTGTCTTGTCGTTATTCTGTCTCATTGTTGCCCTCCTGCGAAACTCGTTTTCTCTCACCGTGGCCGTCCTCGTCCACAGCACTCTGTTCCTTTTCCATTGGCGTCTTTTTTCTCAATCCGTCTCGGTACGCTGTTCAATTACTTCCCCGGTGTTGCCATGCTATCCTCGTTTTCTCGCAATGTGATCCTCCTGTTGAGCTCCGTAATCCTTGTGTGACTCGGTGTGAGTGTATTTTAGTTTTGTTTTGTCCGTCTGCAATATTGTTATCGCTGCTGTCTTCGTGTTTTTTATTCCACCATCTTCAGGTTCTATCATTCATGGCGGTTCTGCTTCATTTTTTCCTTCCTTCCTGTCCTGGTGCCATCTTCTTATCCCTCTCTGTTACCGTCTGGTGTCCATGCCTGTTCAGTTTTTACGCACCGTCTTCCTCTATTCCATCGTATCTCTGTTTGATTTTATATGCTTCAGTTCTTATCCTTTTCCTTTCAATGAACTTCCTGCTTCATTGTTGTCCTCCCTTCCGTTGGCAATTCTCTTCCTCCTCTGCTTCCCTCTTCACGTTCTGTTGCCCTCTTCTTTCTAATGAGTTCCCTGATATGTTCTCTACCAATCAAGTGAACTGTAGACTCTATCATTCCTCTCATCTTCTGTCAATTATCTTGTTGGCACCATTGTGTCCCTCGTGTGAGTTTTGTTCTCTCTCTTCCGTCTCTTTCAACTTTTTGTGTGCATGTGTAACCTCCTCAGGTGAATCTTCGTGTTATGGCACGCCTGACCATGCTCACTGCCATGTCTTCTCATAGCAGTGCTGCGGTCATTGGTACATGTTCCTATCATCTTTGCGCCTCTGCCTTTCCGGCAGAGACGGATAGATGTCATTCTTTCAGGATATCTTCTCGCCCCGCTCGTGGCAACACTGGTTAGGGCCTCGTGGTTTCCGGAGCTTTTGCTAGCAAACAATTCAAACGATGTTGGACCGGATATGCAATGTCGTTTTCTATGAAACCTTCATCAATGAACAGAGGGCATCTGTTTTGGTGTGGTCTTCCGGTTCCCTAGGGTTGATCTGATTGCAGTGATTAGACTTTGGCTTTGCACAGGCAGGACAGTGGTTTTGCCAGGTTCAGGAGGCCAGGGGTGCCTCACAATCTCTGTGCTTCAGGCAGGATATCTCTGTCTGTGTGAGTGTCTCATACCCAGGCGTGTTTGTAACCTGCGTCTTCTGTTGTGCTCTTCCTGGTGAAAAGGATGGAGTACCTGGGGGGAGAGGGGGGGTACTACTTTATGTTCCTGTGATTATCCCAGCGGGAGACATAACATCGTGCAAATATAATTTCCAGGCAGGATATCTCTTTGTCTTTGTAGATGGCCATGTCTAGCTGTTTCTGTAATCCCTCTGTTGTTGCTTTCCCTGGTAAGCGGGTGGAGTTTGTTTGTGGGTATTGATGGATGGTTCCTGTGCTTATCCCAGTGGGACGCAGGACATTGCACAAATACGATCTTTGGCGGTTTTGTCTGCAGCATGGGACTGGGTTTGAGACTTGATGAGGATGTCGCCGATGACTTGGAGACGAGCGATGTCGTTCTTGTCTCCCCCTCTTTATTGCATGGTGGGGCCCACGAGTTTGGCCCACGTTGCATTACTCAGGCCTCTGATGGGTCTGTCTCTGCCCTCAAGGTTACTGGCACGTCTTCCTGGCTTCTTGCGAGGCGGTCTTCCTTCAACAAAGAGGGGAAAGGTCTCCCCATCTCCATCCCTGTTAGGAAGAGCCTGCCGGGTGATGTGTCTGATGCTCTGAGAAACGAATCGGAGGTGTGCAGAGCTTGCGGCCTCTCGGATAGGGGGAGGTCTTTGGGAACAAGTAAGCACTCGCTCAAGTACTCTGGTCAGCTCTCCTCGCCATTGCTTCCTGGTCTCCCATCGTCCCCCCCTGCAGTATTTGGCTGGCATGGGGAGCACGAGTTCATCGACTCCACAGGAAATGTCGCAAGGGATGGTGGGAGGGGTGGTTGGCCAGGAGCTGTCCTGCTGCAGAAGAGGAAGCCCCTCGTGGGGTCGTATGAGGAATGCCTGCTCTCAGGGCGTATATCTACTGCTAGTCCGCTGAAGAGATTGGGAGGGTTTTTGGCATTGCTCAGTGTGGTTGGCGGTGGTCGTTCGCCCACCCATCGAAAGCTTCCGTTTGCAGTCAGCTGTCTCAACGACGGACCGTTCCTGTATAGCGCATGCATTAGCTTGGAGGCTCCTCCAACCACTCCACTGTCAACGACGGTGCCGGCATCACCTTCCACGTCCACGTCGCTGCAGGGCCATTGGCCCCGTTCTGGCTCACCACCAGGTCAATGTTCATCGCGTGACATGTATCGCCCATTTTTGTCGGAGATCTCAGCAACTGTGCAGTCACCGCCGTCATCAGCACATGGGTATGCACGGCCTTCCTCGTCGCCTACATCCCTTTCTCCTTGTCGCCTCCAGTTTGGCAGCAGCAGCCCCATTGCAAAGGCAAGTTCTCCGATACCAATGCCCCAACCACAGTCTTCCCTGTCCTGCCTATGCATGCCGACCACGGACGATAGAGGCACTGTGGTCAGTAGAAGTTTGGAAATACAGGGCCTTTGTGAGAGAAAGCTTGAGAGGTCTTCCAGCGGTAGCTGTAATAGCAACAGTCGTTATCGTGTACCAGTGAAGGGTCGAATCCAGCTGGTACTCAACAATCCAGAGAGGACTCCAATCCACACCTTTGTTTGTGACTATGATTTGTCGGACATGCCAGCAGGAACGAAAACGTTCCTTAGACAGAAGGTCTTTGCTGTCTCCTCTGAGAACAAGGTGCACATAGCAGTAGGCGGGCCAATCAGGCAACAGACTGAACAACATGCAACTAAGAATGTGGGTGCACTCTCCAACGCTTCTGGAAGCAGCAGTGGTGGGATCGCTGGCTCATTGCGATATGCTATGCATGTGCGCTTCATCTGCTCACACACTCGCTCATCAGCAAGGAATCGTGATGAGTGCAAGGGTTTTGACAGCAGCAGGGATTTTGAGGCAGCCTACTCAGAAGGGGTCTCCACTGGTGAGCTGCAATTTGAGGGGCTGGAACCTGACACAGCAAAGAGTGCAGGCGTAGAGCAAACAGAAGATGGGGTGGACAATTATCCTGGGAGAGTCGTAGGCAGGAAATGTGGCGTTCCTGACTGGGTGCTGGACAATAGATCTGTCGAACCAGCGAACACCAGTGGACGGAGCCCTCGAGTGAACTCTGTTCAAGGTGTGGTAAGTAGGAGTAGTAGTGAGAAGGGCTCTAGAAAGTTCTACATATACGGAGATCTGCGTGTCATTTTCCCTCAGAGAGGCTCAGATCTCGGAAACGAGCGTCTGAGAGTCGAGTACGACTTTCCAAGCAATCCCAAGTACTTCGATTGTGTATAAGTTCCGTGCGTTTGCCCGGAAGCAGTTTCTTGTTGGTGATGTCCAGACATGGAGCGTTCTGGCACCTGTAGAAATCCGAAACCCCTGTCTTGGTTGTAGACCATGTGTGATCGGTGGGGTGACCTTCACACTTTTTTTGGCGCAAAGAATGTGATAGGAAGCTATCTCCCCTCCCTCCGTTTCACGGTTTCACCACATGCTGTGTGCAATGCCGCATCAGCCCTCTACGCAGGAGCCTGCCTGTTGTTGTGCGGCAGATATTCTTTTGTCTATAATCCAGATTGGTTGCCGGCTTCTGTCCCCTCCTCTCTTGTCGCAAGCAAAAATGAACAAGTGCAGAGGACACCAAGCTGGAAGCAACAAGCATTCCTCGCGATTCTCCAGCATGTACATGACTGCTTAACTGACGATGCATGTGCACACCGCATTGGCCAAACAATCTGATTTGTAAATAGCTGACACATATTTGATTTTCATCATTTGATCTTTTCTCGATTCTTTTGACGATATTGCTTCCAAGATCCAACCCTCCTGCAGGCTTCCAGAGAGGACCCCCCACTGGATCTGGATATTTTTTTGCACCTCATCTTTTGTACAATTTCCACCTATGAACACATGCCCTATCGACTCTCAATCTCCAGTCACAGCTTCAGTGCTGAGTGCCATCTATTTTTGGAAGCTGCGCACGGCAGCATCTGCCACTGTCTCCGTACCAAGTTTGCCTTTCTTTCTGTTGCCGACGAGCTATCCCCAGTGCCCAGGATCGCATCGGGAAAAAAGAAGGTTGAGATAGGGATCCACGTTTTAGATGGGTTGAATACGACATGCGCGTTGAATACGACACGCGCGCTTACACGCGTGTTTGTACAGAGACCCAACTGAATGTGGAAGTGAGTTCACGAGTCGCTGTTCTGTTATCGCTGGGTGACAATTCCCAGAGGATAGCTGTGTTGCCGTTCAGGCCAGACGTGCATTGACGGACGGACTTCGTTTTTCTGTATCCGAGATCAACGGCTGGGATGACACTCGAGGCTGAGGGCCGCCCTCATTCCCTCATCAGGAGGTGAAGAAATCCGAAGATTCCTGGATTTTCTTGCTTCTTTTCGCACAGATTTCATAGTGCGTTGTCTCCTTTTTCCGCTGAAATCTCTCTCAGCACTGAGGGTGTTGGGTGTAATATAAATAAGCGTTTCTGTGCTTGCCCGCCTTATGAAGTCCTTCCTCACCGCCCCCCAAGCTGTGGCCGTGTACCTTCGTCTTACCTTGTCCATGGCAGGGAGGTGGATTCTGGAATGAAGTGTAGCATTACTTTCTGTTCCAAATTGCAATCCCACTCATTGATTGGGCCAGTGGTGTTTCTCTCAAACATCATGCAGCCATCCATGCAGCTTGCGGCATGGGATCACTGGGAACGAGTGACGGGAGGGGGAGACTGCATCCACAAAGGTGCTGGTCTTCCGCCTTCCACAAACCAATCAGACTGCTTCATTGTCAATCCATTCTCTATCTTGCCTTCCTCTGGAGATTTTCTATTATAAACGTGAACAGGTCTGATACACCCATCCTGAATGAACACCATGCACGGTTCCCTGGGCCTTGAGCATCATCCCATCCCCTGTGCTAAGTTGATCCGTTTGCAATCTGCTCGTTGCAATCAGGTGGTGGTGTGTTTGTTTGCTTTATTCCAGGCCAGCGCTGATCTTTTGTTTTATACTGTGTTGGCATCTTGCCTTTCTTGCGCTGTGAACGATGGAAGGAGCTTGGTAGCGAGAGAGAGTGGGGAGAGGTACATGGGGTGGAGCAGGACGGACGGAGGTAGGTAGGGAGAGATGCGTTGATCGGCAATCCTGTTGATGTTGACGACAACATGTGGTCCGAATGGATAAATAGCTCCGTGCAGCAGCTAACAACTCACCGAAATGTGGCAGATCCTTTCTCTGAAGACACGGATTTAACTTCCTATTTAGGAACGAATGCAAACCAGTGCTGCTGGGTCCGGCTGGCACCTACAGGTAGTGCGCTATTTTTAAGCGAAAGGAGAGCGAAATGCGCTGAGAACGCCCGTCTGGTATGGATTTCAATTCTTTGAAAAAAGCCTACCTACGTTTGGTAGGAAAGGTCGTTAATGCTGGCATGACGACTGGATAGTGCTGGTATGACAACTGGAACCGGAGAGGCTGCTGCTAGATCCTCATCAATGTCGAACTGACTGGGAACCTGTTCCCTATGTCCCTCCCTCAGGGGCTTGCATCATAGGTGATAGTGAGGGGAAGGAGACGTGTATTTCTCCCTTGGGGAGCTTTTTGAGCCTGGTACGGAGGCAGACGTGGATTTCACCACTGCAACCTGCATGAAGACATGTCAAGGCGCGTTGGCATATGTACAGTAATCAATCATCAGAGGAAGCGGTCCTTCGTAAATCCACGCCTGCAGAAAGTGAGGAGCACCTTCACTGATGGATGGATGGATGGTGGGTTCTGGGCGGGAAAGCGGAGAAGCTCCATTGACGGTCTGCAGTACAGACGAGAGTGCAGTACACAGGCTAACTAATGCCTGCATATCGCACAAAAAAGGATTTTCAGACTCCCTCGGGGAGTTCTGTCGGATAGCATGGAGTTCAGGGGCATCTGGAGCGAGGCGAAACAGCTTATGGACTAAGCAGGAATGTGCGGGGAGTCGTTAGCATACAAGCTGGATGGGAATCTCATTTGGGGCAGAGTTTATTGTTTCTTGCCGCCCAAACATTGGCTTCGAAAACCGTTTGAGGTAAGTGACGGTCCGCAACCATTCACTCGTTCGCTCTTCTCTTGAAAGATGTTCCAACTCCACAAGCTGGGGTGGTTTCGAAAACGCTCGATCGGTCGGGGTGGGTGGCGGAATCCGCAACCCCTGTCAGTGTGTAGCTGGAATTTCAAGGGCCATGGGAGAAGGCTTGGCGACTGGTATCACTGAGGTAAAAAAGACTTCACTGAGATAACGATTTTACTGTGGAGTGGAGTCACATAGTGCATTTTGTACTCAGCCATTCCAAGGTGAAGTCATGTGTTTCGAGCATCCTCTTGTACACGGGTATAGCCCAAATTATGGACGACACACTCACAGGATAAGTGCAAAGGTGTCACATCACTCTTCTACAGATGGCGGCCCTTTTGAATTTGTTTTTTTTCTTTCAGATGGACTTGCTTCTAGCTTTGTGCATACTGGGATCACTGAAATCAACTTTGCAGTCACTCTCCCACATTACATTGTGCCTGCCCTCTTTCTGCCTGCCCTCTTCTGCCCCATTTTTGCACCCGCTTCCTGCCTGAACCTACCCTCTTTCCACACCATCCACTGTACCCTTCCTAACACTCCTCGACCATCTCTCTCTCTCTCTCTCTCTCTCTCTCTCTCTCTCTCTCTCTCTCTCTCTCTCTTTTTTTTTTTTTTTTTGAAGTTTTTTCTTTTGCAAGGAAGATGAGCACTTTTTTTCTTTTTCTCTGTTTTTGTGTGTGCACGTGTGACATGCCCCCTGCTACCCCTGTCCCTCTCTGCCCCCTCGCTTTCCTGTCAATCCTCCCTGCCGTTTGGATTCCAAGTGTTGTTGTTATCGGTGTCCATCCAGCTCCTTTTGTGATATTTGAATATTTCCTTATTCAGTGCCTCGAAATAATGTTTCCATCCTCCGTCATTCTGTTGCTGTGGTTTCCCATTCCTTTTCTTGCTTATTTCAGCTGCCTGTCTGTGTCTGGGTCGTTCTTGATGTCTCCTAGGGTTATCTGAAGCAGCTGGAGAGGGTGTGCACTTGTGTGTGTGGGTGTGTTGACGGGGGGGAGAGGGGGGGGGGAAGGGAGGAACGAAGAATGGGAAAACGGCCGTCACGAGAAAAGGTTGCTTCACATGAGCGTCAGTCTGGAGAAAGAGAGCACCAAGGGTAGGTTCCCGCTTGAAATCTTAAGGATGGGAATCTTTGGGGTCGTGAGGTTGAAATTTGCAGAAATGCAGCACTAGAGGACGCTGGCTGCTTGATATCTTACATCGCGAATCTTGAATCTACTTCATCGTGCGTGTAGTAGTTCCCTTTGTTGACTTTCCCACAGTGGAACTCACTCGGACCGAGGCTATCAGCCAGGTTGAATGTCGTGCGCGTGTCGCGGTTCTCAACTGCAGTCACATCTGTCATGGGCCTTGAGAAAATGCAGCGCGTATGCTCCTGTCATGAAAGACGGTTTTGAGACTTCAAAATTCTGTGAGGTGTCTCCAGGCTGTGACTCCTGTGAGCGTTTGGTGCAGCGTAATGAGCGTGGATGGCTCGAGGCTTATTTGGCCTGGCAACATTCATGTCAGCTGAAATTTCAAATTTTCCTAATTTTTTTTTGTAGCCAGGGAGAAATTTGCAAAGTAGGGGGAATTTATTGGTCTTCTCCAAAATTGTCACTCCACCAGGTCCACCCAGGAAGATCCATTATCGTCAAGTGAAACGCACTGCAGTGTGTATATGAACAACCTTGTTATCATCTCATGAAGTCAAATCTGTTGATGGCAACACTTTTTTTTAAGTTTTTTTTGCCTTTTCTCCGAGGAAAGGGCATTTTTTAGGCTTTTGATTGTTATTGAAGCTGTGGAAAGCATGATAACAACGGCAATCGTATTCTATAACAAGAAGGAAAAAGGGAAAAAAACTTCAAAAAAGTGATGGGGCGCAAAAAAAGAGGAAAAACGATGGAACTGTAACCTGCTGTGTATGCAAGGTAGCTTTCACTGACGAACTTATTGCTTGCTTCTCCTCCTTGTGACGGTTTAATTGTGTTTCAGCCCAGATGCATGTGTACTTTTCGTGAAGAGAGTGCACTTTGCAGTGGCCTGCTCTTTGCTCTTTCCCTATGGTTGGCTTTGTTGCCCAGTCTAGCCTCTGCAGGTCTTATGAAGTAGATGATTCCGCTCCCACTTGCCATTCCGGTTCTATTGCCCTAGGTTTCTGACTGTGCCTGCTCTTATCAGCACCGGAGGACTTTACCACCGGTTCTGTCCATCTCCTTCAGTCCATGTCATGCTGCCTCACCATCTTGTCAGCTGCCTTCTCCTCAGCAGCTGTTGTATAGGTATTCCACCTCTTTCTCTCTCTCTCTCTCTCTCTCTCTCTCTCTCTCCCTGCCGACATACACGTACACACACACCATGATTAAGCCTCCAGTAGCCAAGTTTTATACCATCATGGTGTCTTCCTTGCAACAGCGCATGTGGTCACGTTGATATATGTTTAGGTAGACTTGCGTGCTCCTTCGATATTTGCGTGTAGAGCATGCCTCTCATGTTGTCCATCCCTGTACTCAATGTGTACCTGACCTGTTATTGATCCATGGAGGAAACCATGCCAAGTGTGCGGCATACAACCCTGTCAACTGTGCACTAACAGCCATCATTCCGCGGGGTTTTGGGGCATTCTGAAAATCACAAATCAATCGCTCCCTCCAGGCATAGAACCTGCAACCTGCTGATTGAAAATCAGGACACCTGGCACGAGGCAAAGTGTGCTGGGATGAAACTGAAGTTCGCAGATGCGAATTCCTCCCCCCCCCCCCCACAGCATGGTTAGTACTACAACACATACGACCATGACCCGGACCCACTGTACCCCGACACAACTTCAACCAAGGGGTCTGCTTGAGGCTAAGCTCAAGGGGTTCGCAAGCCAAACACCACGTCGCTTTGCCTTGTGGTAGGCGTTATGATTTTCAATCAGCAGGTTGCAGGTCCGCTGCCTGGATGGAGCAATTGATTTGCCATTTTTTCAGAACCGTTGGATTTTGCGCTTGGAGGCAAATGATTATACAAGGAGCTTTGGCGTAGCTCGCTTTGAACTCGTGGAGGATTGTACCCGTGGTGTTCGGCCAACAAGCGACTTGTTCGGCCAACAAGCGACTTTGATGCTCCTGGACTGGATGTGTCCAGAATTAGCCAACACATATCTGGTACCCCAAGCGTCAAGGGAACAGTTAAGCTACAGCAAAAATAGCAGTTTGCGCCATGATTTTGAGCTCTGCAGCCCACCTGGCCGATCCCGCCAAAACGTTGCGTACGCATGAACACGAACATGTTCTTGG